TCCCATTCCTACTGCAGGAATGGGAGGAGCGACTCCCACAGCTTAGGGGGAGCCCGGCTTTTGGGGCTGGGGACATCCTGGGAATGTCCCCAAGTGGTCCTCCCAATGACTTCCAAATTGGGGAGTTGATCCTCCCAAGTTTGGGAGTTGATTAGCTAAGGCCCTATTATTATCAATAGTCTATAATATTTAAATATTTAACTTATAGACTAGTTAAAACTCTATTTCTCTTACATTCTCTCAACTGAGGCACGGTGAAGGTCATTCCACTGCTGTCCCTTATTAATATAAGGAGCTAGCCCCTTCACTTTTTAAGTGTTGAGGAGAGGCTTATTTCCACTGGCCACCTCTGTGGATATAGTGTGACCCATTACCCTTTCAACTCTTGGTCACATAAGAGACCAGACCTGACACACTGGTTAGTTACATTACCTGTAGTGGTAGTGTAAAGATAAATTAGTGATTTTCCACCCACTATCATTACTTTCCCTATAATTTTTTGATTTTTTTTGCACATTATATTATCCATTTTGTCTTGGTATTTTCTTGATGCTAATTACACTTTTGGCAACTGGTAGATTTTCTATTTTTGAAAGGGGCTTGGTTAATCGACTCCCCAAAATTGGAGAGTCGACTCCCAAACCCCGAAACCCCCGAAATTAGGGAGCTGATCCCCCAAAACCGTTGACCGGTTTGGGAGTCGACTCCCTAAGAATTTAATAAAAAAAAATAAAAACCCCCGGTTGGTTTGGGAGTCGATCCTCCCAAACCGGCCAGGGTTGGGGGGACGATATCCCAAATCAACCCGGGGTTTTTATTTTCCTGTGGCCAAGGGGAGACTAAAGCTTCTGCTAGGAGCTAGTGCTGGGCTCATAACCTGAAGAGACACAAGAAAATAGTGACAGCTATGGAAGTCAAAACCATGTCACATTCATGGTACAGACCTGCTCTACCACTGAGCTAACCCATCTGATGCATGGCATCTAGAGGCTACAACAACAATTCCAAAGTCAAAAAGGAAATCAAGTTTGATTCACACAGATTCAACCATTGCAATCAAGAAACTTTAATGCATGATGACAAACAAGTCAGTCTACTAAAGAGAATACTGGAAAACACCACTGGTGAGTACCTAGAGAATTATGAGTAGATAATAAGAAAACAAACTCACAATTAGGGGGTATCAAATATAACCAAATCCACCATTATTTAATTGACTGGTTTGAAAAAATCCACCCTTTTGTAAACTTTTTGTTTATTAATTTAACCCATTTTGGGGCCCATTGATGCAAAAAAAAGTTTTGGTAAAAGTGACTGGTTTCTAATGGTGAATTTCCTATATTTGATATCCCCTATTTAACCCATTTTGGGGCCCTTTGATGCAAAAAAAAAAGTTTTGGTAAAAGTGACTGGCTTCTAATGGTGAATTTCCTATATTTGATATCCCCTATTTAACCCATTTTGGGGCCCTTTGATGCAAAAATAGTTTTTTGGAAAAGTTACTGGTTTCTAATGGTGGATTTTCTATATTTGATATCCCCTATTCAACCCATTTTGGGGCCCTTTGATGCAAAAATAGTTTTTGGGAAAAGTGACTGGTTTCTAATGGTGGATTTCCTATATTTGATACCCCCTATCATGTGATCAGAGTTGCTTTTAGAGCAACAGAATCAAAACAAAGAACTTAACCAAAAGGATCCAGAAGGAGAAGAAGGTGGTAAGCTAGAATAGAGCAATATAATAGAAAGAAGACAAAGAGGCTAACTAATGCCAGTAAACATTAGGAAGCTGTTTACTTTGTCAAATCTTGAAAGAATAGAATGTGGATCTAGATCAAGAGTTGTAGAATTTTGGAAACACAATCCTCTCATTATCTCTATCTCTTAGCAATAGAAATCAAGGCAAGCATGTGGATGAAAGTTCAGTGAGAGAGTGTGATGTTTATATATATTTAGTAAGGTAGCAGCTGAAATGAAATGGATGGTATGAAATAAATATGTATCTGAAAGGCATTTAATTACAAAATAACTGTGGCTTAGAAGTTAGAATATGAGGGTTTGGAAAAATAGTTCTCTTTATTAGCCACCAACTGCCAAATATTGGGGTACTTTCAGAGGGCTGTCTCCCGAAAGTCTTGGATTGAGAGATGTTGGCATGACCCACACAGATTTTGGATTTGCCAAGTAGGTCAATAAACTTCTTATCAAGAGTTCTTGCCTCTTGCCAAGCAGGTACATAACCAGCTCAGCAAGAGGATGTTCTCTTGGCCAGTGCTGAGCAGTTGATTAACCTAATTGGAAAAAGAAAGGCCTCTTTTCAGCCAAAGCAGTGCAGCTCATTCCCACAACTCCCAATCTATTGGACAATTTTGGTCTGCTGACTCCCCAATTTTAAGGTAAAGATAATTAAAAATCACTGGTAAGGTAAACAAATCGCATACCCTTTGGAGGGGATTAGGAGGAAAACTCCCAGGACCTTCTAGAAATTCTCCCTCAATGTCCCTCTATATTTGGGAGTTTTTGGATACAGAAGGCTTGTGTACAAAACTATTGAAGTAAAAAGAAAGTTCATCACTACAAATAAACCTTTCCAAATTCAAATTACAAAACAACATTTTTTGTCAAACGTAAGAATGGTAATAGCCCGGTTCACATTTCACACTTTCCACTGCTAACTTGTAATAAACTTTCTGCTTGCTGATTTCGAAACTCTGTCCAAACTTGCACTGGCAGCAGGCTAATTTTAAGCGTGAGATCTCAATTCCCTCTGCTAACTTCAAATAAAAAATTTGCTAAAAAATTTGAAATGTGAACCGTCCTAATAGGAGATTTATGAACACAGGTTAAACTGAGCAAGCAAGAATAGTAAATTTGATGGAGAAACATACAATGATTGCAGTTCATCAGGGAAAAATTATGGAACAACTATCTAACTTTGGAAGTTGGAAGCTTGGCATGGTGAAATTTGAATCAGATTCCACTATTGCTCCTTATCTTGATAAGTATAAAAACTTTCTGTTTAGTTTGTTGATATGACTATTAAATTGGCTTCAAAAGCTATAGTGTGACCCCATAATGCCATCAGATTGAAGTCACATAATTAAAGACCCACACCGAAATGGATCCAGCAATTGAGAATAGCACATTTGATGTTCTCTTTATGGTGTGAACTCATTTTTTCAGATTCAAGTTGCTTCCCATAACATATGATCAATGGGATGAATATTGGTTCAATTCTCAGTGGTCTCCCCAGGTGATTAATGTGGATATATATCTAGTTGGAGATATCTGTGTAATTATGGGAAGTCAGACAAGTCCTCCAGTTTCAAGACTCTTTAACCATCTACTGTCACCAGCATTTTAGCTTTCCTGCACTATGAATCTCTAACCACATCTTTGCATTCATTCACATTCAAGTCACGATGAGCGAGGTCGCTTTTCAACCAGCCGGACGGCCTGATTGAGCATTGAGCCTGAGGACTGAAGCGCTTCGCTTTCGGATGTGCGGAAGACTCAGAGGCCCGCGCGCCACCGACCTCATCGTGCGGCGTGCGCGTTCAGGCGTGCGGTTGGTCGCTTTCGGGTGATGAGAGTCGCACAGAAATCGGGATCGAAACCTAGTTGTGAAACCTAACCCCCCCTCTGGGGTGTCACCCGCCCCACCCGGCCAGTCCACCCGCTTGGAAGGCAAGCTTGGCAAGCCAGAGTCGACGGTCATGTCCCAATAAGTCCCTTGAGTCTGACGCAACCCTCAAGATCCATCGACCCAAGTCAAGCTCTACTTCGTAAGTTACTCGCTTTACCTGTACGTTATCATCCCGCTTTCGACACCGGAAACTTATCATCTAATTCAATATTCCCCCTCCTACAGTTCAAATCACTCACAATGGCTGTAGGTAAGAACAAACGTCTCTCGAAAGGCAAGAAGGGTATCAAGAAGAAAGTCGCCGATCCTTTCACTCGTAAAGGTGTGTACAGATTCATCTAGGCGCATTCCCTCCTCGCGTCGTGACAGTCGCATTTACTTGATTGCTCGTCGATTCTGTCTAGATTGGTACGATGTCAAGGCTCCTTCGATGTTCGAGAACCGAAACGCTGGCAAGACCTTCACCAACCGATCTGCCGGAATGAGTCAGTCTACTTACCCAATCGCCCCGCACTTCACCAGTCAAATTGCTGAACTTTTGATCATTTGTCACATCAGAGAACGCCAACGACTCCTTGAAGGGCCGTATTATCGAACTTTCCCTCGCCGATCTGAATAAGGATGAGGAACAAGGTGAGTAAGACAGAATGCCACCCTTATATTCTCCTCTGGGTGATGATATTCACTGTCCATCCTTGATTTAGCTTTCCGTAAAATCAAGCTGCGTGTTGATGAAGTTCAGGGCAAGAACTGCTTGACCAACTTCCACGGAATGGACTTCACTTCCGACAAGCTCAGGTCCCTCGTCCGAAAGTGGCAGACACTGATCGAGGCTCACATCGACATCCGTACCACCGATGGATACATCCTCCGACTCTTCACGATCGCCTTCACGAAACGTCGACCCAACCAGATCAAGAAGACCACCTACGCCAAATCCTCTCAAATCCGAGAGATCAGGCAAAAGATGTTCGAGATCATCAACCGTGAGACCTCCACCTGCGACCTCAAGGAACTTGTCAGCAAGTTCGTCCCCGAGGTCATTGGTCGTGAGATCGAGAAAGCCTGTCAAGGCATCTACCCCCTTCAAAATGTCTATGTCCGCAAGGTAAGCAACATCAACCTCTTCGCATTCATCCCCAGTTGACTTACTGCGTCACCCCCTCCACTCTTACAGGCAAAGATCCTCAAGGCGCCCAAGTACGACCAGAACAAATTGTTCGAGCTACACGGTGAATCAGGTGGTGACGAAGCTGGCAAGAAGGTTGTTGGCGAGTTCAAGGAGCCTACTCCTTTAGCTTCCGTTTAAAAACAAATTGACGCATGCTCGTTGTAATGAACCTCATCCTGGAATAATAAACCATTCCAAATCCTGAAGTTCTGATTCGGACTTCAACAATAGCCCTCTATCGCCCTCTCCCTTGAGTTGATCAATCAAAATTGTCCCCCTGCACCCATCGGCCTTCATTAGTCTCAACATGAAAAATAACTTTTCCCCTATCTATGCAATATGAACCCCCTCCTGAACACGATATTCGAGTCTATCGACTCCATCGGCTCGATCCTGTCATGAGGCGTATCTTTTCTACTCATTACATTGCGATCACCCCGTTAAATGAGCATCTTGCTATGCTTTTCAATGATTCAAGTGATGGGGCCTAATGCTCATAGCCGGAGGGGCTCACAGCTATCAACATCGCTTGATGCCGATCGCTGTGCGGCTGGGTGTGAATTGTTGTCAGTCTATCAGTCTTGGTGTGGAATTGCACCCAATGAAACACATGATCAGAGTCGCGAACAGGGTTGCCAGTAAGTATAACCTACCAAACATCCCCAAGCCGATTAGCTGAAGGGAGGATACTGTCCTAGACCCTCAGAAGAAGGGTGCCATACCCATGCATGCATTTTTACTTTTGGTTGCAGTCCATATTTTGCAAGAGCATTATTTGGAGCTGGCACAGGAAAACCAGTTCTGAGGTTAAGGATTAGCCTCTTGCTATGCTCTTCTGATTTTAGGCCAAATTCATAAATCAGCAAGCAAGAGTTTGAATTGAAATTGTTTTTTGAAATGTGAACCTCCTCCCCCCCTATTTGGGAGTTTAACTAGTTCTCCATGGTGGGATCGGTAGCCAGGAGTAGAGCTGATCACAACAGTGGAGGCCTATGCCCTAACTAACTCAACATTCCTGTGTGGTCAGGTTCCAAATGGGCCGGGTTTGGGTCAAAAAATGATGACCAAACCCGCCCCGCCAAATTCTCGGGGCAGGGCAAAAATTGCAAAATGTTGACCAAACCCGGCCCAAATAATATGCAGTGTCTCGGGTCGGGTCAGGTCGGGTCTTGGGTTGGGTCCGGGTCGACCCAGCAAATGCTCAGTTAATTCTTTTCAATCAGGTCAGTTGGTCAATCTCAAACCGACCCGAACACAATCCATCTTGATCATACCCGCCCCGCTGACCCGCTGGGTTGAATCCGGGTCGGGTCAATTTCCAACCCTAGCCTGCTCAAACCCACCCCGTGACCCGCCGGGTACCCGTGACCTGGCGGGTCAACCCCACCCACTTCAATCCTGACTGTGTGGTGAGTTTTCAGAATTGGGCTTGGTACTGATTGTTTTTGTGCATTCTCCTCCCTCAGTGCTTCCTCATTCACATCTATATCTGATTTGCTTCTGGGACAGGGGAGGCCTGTATCTTAATGTACATACTTCCCTCTGTTAGGTTTCTTTTTGTTATGTCCTCAAATCTTCTATAGCTATTTTTGAAAAGGCCAACTTTCCAACTCAAGGGGGCTTCTGTTGGGGTGCCCAAGATGAGTAAACCTCATTTTTGAGCTTCAAAAAATTTCCAACCATGATTTCAAAAAAAAAAGTGTTATAAAATCAGATTGTGTCATGCTACTTCTGAGTTTTGGTTGGATTGAAGTCACAATGTAACTCATCACCAAATCCCAACCAAGCATCAATGAAGTTGTGAGGGAATCATGTGATTCCAAGTTTTATGTGGCTCTCACCTAAGAAGTGGAATCTCATTGCCCAAGTTTATCAACTTAAGGCACAAGTCTCTCCAGAAGGAGTTCCACCTGGCCAGCACTACGCTTCCAGATGCACCCTTAGTGGGAACATTACTACACTATGTAAGTGTTTTTTAGGCCTTGTTTGGCACTGATATAATCGAGCAATATTATGTGGATTCTTGTGACAGAAGTGGTGGCAGAACTGATCAAATGTCATGGCACTTTGTGGTAAGCCAATCCTGTTTCTCCATGCACATCAAGAGTAAAAATCACAGAAGAATCACATGATCATTAAGACCCCTCAGGAAATCTACAGACCCTCACACAAATCTAAACACCAATCATCCAGTCAAGCACATGACAGAACACATGGATAATACTATTTCCCAACTAGAAACTCACACCCCTCCGAATCAATTCCATTATTCTTTCCCCTTTGTGTTCCACACTAGTGCTCATCCCTCTGCTCCATGAAACTCTTATTTCCTCCTATTGCCTTCCATGGAAGATCCCCCCCCCCTTATGTGTCACACTAGTCCTCTTGGGAGCTTTTGTCCCACTGCTTGTTCCCCATTTCTCTCTGGATAAAATATTACCGCTTTTCACCGTGGATCCCACGAGTGGCACCCGCGGGAGGTCAGACCAGGACCTGACGGTCCTTAGTATTCCGCGGTTCCAGGATCCCGCTGGCAAGAAGTGCCCCTGGGGTATATATTCCAATCACAAGGTGGCCACTCCCCAGAATTTTGTATATAAGGAGCTTTGATTTATGTAGGTTGTTGCAATGGTGGGCCAATACTTTACGTTGCAATATTTGGCCTATATGACATAAAGTATATTGGCCAAATTTTTAACAAAAATTGTTTATTTCATATTGCAAAAAAACAGCAATACATTTTTTTTACATATTGGAGAGCTGTGATAAAGGATAGGGGCTTGGAAAAACGACTCCTAAAAATTAGTCGACGACTCCCGTTTTGGTCGGGGGGTCGTCGGACGGGAGTCGTTCTTCCAATTCCCCCAAAAAAAAGGGGAGTCGTCGTCCTAATTTCAATGGCGATTTTTTAATTTTTTTTATTAAAAAAATGGGAGTCGCCCGCCTAAAGGGCGGGAGTCGTCGTACCAATTTAGCCAAATATTTTTTATTTTTTTTTCATTAAAAAAATTGGGAGTCGTCCGCCTAAAGAGCGGGAGTCGGCGCCCCAATTCATCCAACTAATCTAATTTTTTTTATTAAAAAAAAGGGAGTCGTCCAACTCAAAACAGGAGTTGTCGACCTCTAGCGACCCTAAAAACTCAAGAAAAAGTTCAGCCACTGGGGCCCCGCCCCAAAGGCACTTTATCAATGATTAAAAATTAGATTCATTGAGAAAAACAAATTCAAGAAATAATTGAAATAAATTGATGAGATGTTGAGAAATGTACACAAAAAAACAATGAGAAATGTAAGAAAAAAACCGCGATAGAAGTATTCAGTTGTGGAGATTAGAGA